AGAGTATGCTGCCCAAGATCATATAGCTCTCGTAGCAGTCTTTTACCATGGCAGGACAAGTTTCTACTAAAGGAGCGGCTTAACTCACATTTATTTCCTCGCAGTTTCCCAGGGGTCAGGAGTCGGTGCAGAGCTTGGCTGACCCTTCTGCTCAGGGTGTCACAAGCCTTCGATCCTGGAGCCCACTGGGCTGCCTTCCTTTCTGGATCTTTCTGGTTCTGTCGCAAGGTCCCCTGGTTGTTGACAGAATTCTGCCCCTGGTGGCTGCAGGAGTCAAGTCCCTACTTCCTTGCTGGCACTCTGTTTCTGGAAGTGCCTGCAGGCCCCTGCCTTGTAGTTGCTCCCACAGGACAGCCAGCAAAGGAGGCTCCTGTATTCAGGCCCTCCAGAATGAATCTGATAGCCTGCGGTCATTGGAATGACCCTGCCACCTTTGTCTTTTCCACTCAGCGGGATGGATGTCACAGGGTTAAACCATTCACCCTCTCAGCCTTCTATGCCTTCATCTGCAAAATGAGAGCTTGCTCCTGGGTCATATCAGACTTTCTCTTTCTTGCTGGTCAGGTGTCAACCTGATGCCACATCGTCTGAAAGCCCTTCCATGGCCACCTACCCAAAGCAGGTTTCCTTTCTAGACCCTGATTTGTTCTTCTCGGAGTACTTGTCCCAATTTGGGGTCGTGTCCATTATTCACTCCTGTCCCCCTCCTAGAAGCGAGCTCCATTCAACTGGCTCTGTCTTGTCCACTGTCGTGGCCCCAGGGACTGTGGAGAGGATGCTTGAGGATCGCTGACTCCCCTGAGTGCTAAGAGCCGACTCAGAGCGTGTGTCAGACGTTTTGTCCATAGCACAAGGGAAGCCGAGTTACAGGGGGTTCACCCCAGCAGCAAGAGGGGCGGGCGTGGGGACTCAGGCAGGCTGCTGCTGAGTAGGACTCGCCCAGACAGAATACCCTCTTTCCTTGTAGCCGTGGGGTCTAGTTTACCAAGTCACTCGTGCATGCCAAGTCCCTTCAGTCATGTCCGAGTCTGCAACCCCATGGACTGTAGCCCACCAGGCTCCTCTGTCCATGGGGATTCTCCAGGCAAGAACACTGGAGTGGGTGGCCATTTCCTTTTCCAGGGGGTCTTCCTGACTCAGAGATCGAAACTGCATCCCTTACGTCCTCTGCATTGGCAAGCGGGTTCTTTACCACTAGTACCACCTGGAAAGCCAAGTCACTCATACCTCTGCCCTTGTTTAGTCCTCAGGATGTAAGAGACCACAAACAGGGACCTTCTGATGGGCTCTAATGGATGGTGTTCCTATCCAAGGTCACACCATGGTCACTGGGGGACCCTGGCTGGAGCCTAACATTTATCCATCTCCTCCACTAGCTCTCCTTCTGCTCTGTTAGGCATGTAGCTTCCTGTGGCTATTGCAGCAAATTCTCACAAAATCAATGGCTTCAAAAAATGTAAATCTGTGACCTCACAGTTCTGGCCAGAAGGCTGAAATTCAGGTTGCCTGTGGGGCCAGCCTTCTTCAAATGCTCTGGGAGAGAATCTTCGCCTTCCTCTTCCAGGTTCTGGGAGCTCCCGGTTCTCCTTGGCTGTGGCCACATCACTCCAGCCTCTACCTCTGTCTAGACGTGGCCTCTTCTCCCCATTGTGTCTGTGACCAAACCCCTGTCTCCTTTCTAAAACGACAGACAGCCCCAAACGCAGGGCGATTTCATCTTGAGATCCTTAACTAATTCCTTGCAGGAACAAAGGCCGTGACTCAAAATAGCATCACATTCTGAGGTCCTAAGTATTTTGAATTTTGGGGGGATGCTATTCACCCACCTATACCAGGTCACCTCTCCTTAGGTCTGCCACCACTGCCCCATCTTTTCTTGGTTCTGACACCCTGGTCTCCACTGGTCCATGTGATCCCCAGCCGGCCGTTCCCTCTCCAGCCACCCCAGTTCCATCTTCCCTGGGCTCCATGGCCAGTCTGTACTGTGGCTTCTGAGCCTCCCACCTGCGTGTCTCCCCTTCCCACTGAGTCTGAGCTTCTGGAAGGGAGGAACTGTCCGGAGCCTCTGCAAGTCAAGCTCTCTGCCCAGATCTTCCAGGAGGAAGCACTTGAGGAATGTCCCCAGAAGGAAAAGGAAGGGATTGAAGGAGGAGATGAAGGATGAAGAAGGAAAGACTGGAGAGGGGTGGTCAGAAAACCCCAAGATGGGGCACATTCAGCATCAGGGGAGCCAGCAGCTCAGGTCAAGGACCTTGCAGCCGTTGGGGTCCAGGCTCCTGGTCCATGGCCACCTCTTCTGAGATCCCCAGGCCCCAGACAAGGTCATCCTAGTCCAGTGACACCTTAAAGAAAGGATGCTCTTTCACATTCGCTGCTGTTTTCATTCTTGACAAGTATCTATTTTCCCTTTTCTCACCTTTCTTGAAGAAGCCTCCCGGGGTAGGCCCTAGACAGGGGCCAAGTGTTTGCTGATTTGAGCCACAAACACTTGACTTCAAGCCTTCTGCCTTTTGTTTTAATTGTGTGAGTTTTCAAGTTCATCATTCCCCTGGGGACTGCATTAACAACCCATCTCTGTTCACCAGGGATGTTGGTGAACTTGAGAGCATGGAGTGCATTGGCTTAATGCCCATCAATATTCATGGTGGGGAAAGTCACAATAAAATGAAAATGTAAATATATGGATTGAGTGTTTCTTTCTTACCCCAAAGCCGCAGACATTGCCTTGTATTGTTCCAAATAACCATGTTGTGTTTTCAGGTAGAATTGGTATTTGATAAACTCTGGAGCAATCACTTTTTATTTCAAAGAAAGCCATCATTAGTCTCAAAGGATTTGACATTGACTCTAAATGAGTGAGTGAGGCCTGCATTTCTCAAATCTATGGATTTAACACGGCACTTTGGAAAGTGTGTGCTTGCTAATGATGTGTAAATCAGAGCTGAAAGTGTCAACTCAGTTTCTCTAAGGCTGTATTTCCCTCACATTCATTCTTCCCTGTTTCCTGTGTGTTGATAAAGATTCTCTCCCTCTAAAACTCTGCTCAGACTCTTCTGAGTTCTTTTGAAACCGGGCTTCATCTTTTGGACTTCCATGTTGGTTTCTGCATTGTCCAGTCTTAGCAAGAACCTACTAAGTCAGTTTAGGGGCTTCCATGATAGCTCAGATGGTAAAGAATCTGCTTGCAATGCAGGAGACCCCGGTTCAAATCCTGGGTCAGGAAAATCTGCTGGAGAAGGCATAGGCTACCCACTCCAGTATTCTCAGGTTTTCCTGGTGGCTCAGCTGGTAAAGAATCCACCTGCAATGTGAGAGACCAGGATTCGTTCCCCAGGTTGGGAAGATCCCCTGGAAAAGGGAACAGCTACCCACTCCAGTATTCTGGCCTGGAGAATTCCATGGACCGTACAGTCCATGGGGTCACAAAGTGTCAGACACGACTGACCAACTGTCACTTCTACCTTCACTAAGTCGGTTTAGCCATAATCTGCCATCCTCCCAAACTCATCATCCTCTGATCAGGTTGCTCATCCCCCAGGTGGTCTGATGCCCTGACCTTCTCTCAGCAAGAGTACTGATGAAAAGTTAGTGACTTTCTATCCACCAACCCCTACCTCCTCAAGTACAAATTCCCACTTGTCCACACTGTGTTTGGAATGAAGCCCAGTTCTATGCTGAGGTCTCTTTTCCCCTTTGGTGATTGCAGTTGAATATAATCTGTCTTCAGTGCTTTAACTACTGTCCTGGTTTTTCTCTGACAGTGTCAGCTGGTTACAGGCACCATGCTAGAAGTGCAAAAAGCAAAGCCCCTGCCTTTAAAAAACACAGCTTAGAGTTGGGAGCCCTTTGCTTTAAGGATGAGGAGAGCTGAACTTTCCAGAAACTGCCCAGCCCAGATTTTGCTGTACATGGCCCACTGTGTTACCCTAAAAGTGAAAGTGTTAGTTGCTCAGTCTTGTCAGAATCTATAGGATCCCATGGACTATAGCCCGCTAGGCTCATCTGTCCATGAAATTCTCCAGGCAAGAATACTGGAGTGGGTTGCCATTCCTTTCTCCAGGGGATCTTCTTGACCCAGGGATCGAACCTGGTCTCTCGCAATGCAGGCAGATTCTTTACCATCTGAGCCACCAGGGAAGCCCTGAATGGGATCAGCAACCTTCTAAAAGGACCCAATAATAAAATTTCAGATCTTGAGGGCCACATCAGTGTGTGTTGTACATTTCTTTTCATTTTTGCTTTGTGTGCTGCGTGTGTGTCTTGTTTTGCTTTTTATAATCCTTTAAAAATTTAGAAACCCTCCTAAGCTCACAAACTGTGCAAAAACTGGCTGACTGCTGGGTGTGATCTTTCAAGAAACTGAATTGACATCTTCAACCCTAATTTACTCATTATGAACATGCATGCGCTTTCCGAAGCTCCATATTAAAATCACAGATTTTAGAAACATATGCTTCATTCACTTCTTTATAATAAATGTCCAATCTCTTGAGATCATACAAAAACGAGCAGAGACTGTGGTCCATCTCTGACCCGGACCAGATACTGACCCTCCTAGAACCACAGTTCCCATGGAACAAAGTCTATGGAACACAGTCTATGGAACAAAGGCCATTAAACCTGGGAGGTTAGTACCTACCAAGGGGGGAGGGCTAAATTGCAGCAGAAAGCAAAAGTGTCTGTACCCACTGAAGAGACCCAGGGCTCAGTGAGCAGTCACTCCTGGGAGTCAACTGGCCAGACATCATTAAGAACATTCAGGAAAAAAACATACTCACACAATCCACTTGCAATTCCAGGAAAAGAAAAGAAAAGCAAAAACACGGATTCTGCTATAGTAATAATAATAACTGTCGTGCTTGCTGTCTGAGCCTTCACGCCGGGGGAGAGGCAAGTACACTGGTTGTTGTCAGGCGTTTGTCCCCAATTGTCATGTTTGACACACGCTCCTCCAGACACTCAAGGAATCATATTTTCAGCTTCTCTGTTTTCTCTTGCAGAGACATCAAGCCAGACAACATATTGCTGGACGAACATGGTAAGCCTGTTATGAATGCTTTCTAGAGACTGTTTCAGTGGGAATTTTGAGGCTCTGGGAATCTGGGGGTGGGGGGGAGGTCCTGGTGAGTTGGATTTTAGGGTTGACTAGAAAGCCTTTTTTGTTTCAATCCTGGTAAATGAACACCTCTGTAAATTCCCTGCTGCAGTGAGTCAAGTCCAATGTGTCTGAAGGTTTCACATCCAAAGACATCATTGTTCACATCCTGGTGTAAGAATGACAGGGCAGAAGTGGGAAGAATGGGATACAGGATTGGAGGCTCTGAGTCTCCCACTCCTGTTCCCCGACCCATGAACCTAGGGCTTCAGAAAAGTCACTCACACTCACCTCTCAAAGCCTCAATGTCTTCTTTGGTAAAACAGGGAAAATGGTACCCACCTTCCTGATTGTCATGGGATAGAGTATGCTTGGCAAGCTAGACATCAGTCATCAGTGATCTGCTAAGCCTTTCCTCACCCAGGCTTCTCAAGCTTTCATGAGGAGTCAGGGCAGCTTCTTAAACTGATTCAGTAGATTGAGTTGGATCTGGGACTCTGCATCTCTCACCACTCCCAGTTGAGCCTGACACTGTTGGTCCATGGAGTGGTTCCCTGTCAGTGGCTCTCTGACTGTGGTCTTATCAGAATTCCCAGAGGATAGCCCTGCTTTAGAGAACCAGGGCCTCGGTGTTCTGAGTCAACCCCCGGGATGTGGTATCCAACCAAGTTAGGACCGAGAGTCCAGGTTACAACCCAGCAATGACTGACAGTCCGTTGCAGTCCATGGCAACGGCAGCTTTACAGCCCACCATCGTGGCAGACTTGAATACTTAATTCGCTGAGGTTCTTTCAGGGACTAATCCCTCAAGGGTTTTGGGGAGGGTGGGCTAGAGTGAGCAGGTGGGGAAAAATCCATTAGAGGCTGCTGAATCATCCAGAGATGAATCTGCCGACTCTTCCACCTGGCTGTGCTAGACCTCCCTCCCCGACTCCACGCAGGGTGACACTGTGGCTCCTGCTCAAAGCCTCTCTAGGACTCGTGTGTCTCAGGGAGTCCTACCTCACTGTGTAAACCCCTTGGTATTGGGAGGCAGAGTGGGAATGGTGGATGGGACCATCAGCGCTCCAATCTCCCACCAGAGGCTAAGAGCAGACCAAATGCCTTGCCTTGGGGCAGTGAGTTGAAATCTCTGGGCTCCTGATGGAAGGGCAAGGACAACCTTAGGATGCCAGGGAAACTGAGGGGAGCTGAGGATGCAAATCAGGGTCCCCAGTTTGTATGTAAAACTCAGGAACCCCAGACCCGGGTCTCAGCTGGCTCCCTAACTAGCTGTGTGTCTTCGGACAGGTCACAGAACAGAAGTAATGCCACCTGGCAGGGCAGTGAAGGTCTAAGAGGAGACGGTGAAGGTCAGCTTCTGTCCCAGCACCGGGACATGAGGTGCTTATGAGGGCTGTGTTAGCTTATAGGACTCAGCCTCCCCTATCCTTTCTCTGCTCAGACCACGGAAGCAGGTGAGGTAGAGGCAAGCGGAGGCCCAGGCTGAGTGATGCAGGACCCCTGGCAGGGCTGTCCTGGAAGCCAGGGGCCTGGGAGGCAGGGTTCTGGCTGGAATCCTCAGAGCCCTGCATACTGACTGAGAGAGACTTTGGGATAAAGACCTTTCAGGCCCTGGGCAGCTTTCCTTCTGGAAAGCAAAATCAAGACAGGAACACCAGGCAATAGGAATAATTCAGCTGCTTCATCTACAAAGAAATGAGATTCAGGGAGCCTGTGGGGTAACTGGACCTGCCTGATGCCATAGTTCCTGCCCGATGCAACGACCCAGGCCACAGCTCACACCACCTTCTCTGTGTTCCCTGACTCCAGAATTCCTGGATCTCCATCCATTCTTTCCTTCCTCCCCTTCTGCACTCGGCCTCACCTCTCCACCTCATCCCTTTCCCGTTTTCCTTTCAGACTGTCTCCCTGTCCTTCACCACCCGCCTTATACAGTGTCCTGACCCTGCAGTGTGGCTTTGCAGCATTCCACACACTCCCCAGGCATCTCTCACTGGACCCTTCGCTTTCTGCTCTAAGCTCCTATTTTATCAAGCTTGGTGTGGGAATGGAGCACTGAACACTATTTCATACTAAGGAGTGAGTGGCTGATACCCTCCCCTTTCAGCTTTAGCATCCAGTCGGTGCCTTTTCAGAAAGTGCAGAAGGAAAATTAGGAGCAGAGAATGCTCAGAAAACACAAGTCTCCTCCCCAGGAGAGAAGGGCAGGAGAGGCGGCTGTGACCATGGTTTTCCTTTCTCTGATTTATGACAGGAGATAGAATCTCATTAGCATTTCTTTTTTTTCTTTCTTAGTCATTGTTGCCTTTCTTTTTCCTTCAGCTCTATTGAGGTGTTATTGGAAAATAAAAACTGTATATGTGTAGGTTGTACAATGTGATTTTTAAATGGTGTACAACGTGATGATTTAATACACATATACACTGTGTATTGAAATGTACATATATATTGTACATTGAAATCAACACCACAATCAAAATAATTAATATATCCTTCACCACTCATGGTTGCATTTTTATTGTGTGAGTACTGAGAACATTTAAGATCTACCTTCTTAGCAAATTTCAACTCCACAATACAGTATTATTAGCTACAATCACCATGCTGTACATTGTATCTCCTTAGCCTTTTGTTAACTGCATTAAAAAAAGTTTACAAAACAGATAACTATGTGTTCCTATTTAAAGAGTTTGCTGATGAATCTCATTAAATGTTTTCTCAGAAAACAAGTTGGTTGCTGTGTTTACAATGAAGCATAAGCATAATAAAATAACTGCATTTATATTTTTATTAAAAATGTTCAAGATCCTCTGGTTACACAAAATCCAAAACTCTCATGGAAGACTCTGCTCCCCGAGTGTCTGCCCGGCTTTCCTGTCCTCCAGGCTGGATTCATCTCCTGGAATGGGTGCTAATTCTGCTTTGAGATTTGAACTCTCCTGGCTAACAACAAAAGCAAAGAGATAGCATATGCGTGCTAGGTCACTCAGTCATGTCCGACTCTTTGAGACCCTATGGACTGTAGCCTGCCAGCCTCCTCTGTCCATGGGATTCTCCAGGCAAGAATACTGGGGCGGGTTGCCATGCCCTCCTCCAGGAGATCTTCCTGACCCAGGGATTGAACCTATGTCTCTTATGTCTCCTGCATTGGCAGGCAGGTTCTTAACCACTAACAGCACCTGGGAAGCCCAAAGGAGACCATTCCTGGAGGTAAAAGGAAGTTGAGGGAAGAGGTAGCATACTAGAGTAGTATGCGGAGAAGAGCTGAGTGTGCTTTAGGGCTGAGGGCAAAGTGCTTTAGGGAATTTAAACTGTAGGGGGAAGGGGACGGGATTGCATCTAATTTTCTCTTGGTACAGCGATGCTGAGTAATGACTAACTGCATGAATATAATGGCACAAGCATGCATCCAGTTATGCTCACAGGTCTCTGAACCTTTCATAGGCAGGGCTTGCTCCTAAGACTGAGAGCCAACAGGGTCAGCTAGGCAGCTGCAGTGACATTGGCTGTGCTCGCTGCCACTTCTGGGTTTCACCTGGCTACTGGCTGGTACACCATGACTTTGGTTCATTGACTAGACAGCTCAGCCCAGCGGCTCATGGGTCATCCTCTGGCAAGCCAACCCCATGTGACCTTGCATGGCCAGAGCAGGAGAAGGAGCAGGGAAAGTCCAATCACTCAGCCTCCGCCTGTGTCACATTTGCTGCCATCTCAGTGGGCAAAGCAAGTCACAAGACCCAACCAATTGGGGGGTGGGGCACTGCCAAGCTGCATCCCAAGAACTATGATACAGAGGGGGGAAGAATTGCAGAGATTAATGCAGTCATCTGTAAGATGCTCATAGAAAAGGAAGAGTCACTAGCACAAGTAGGGGTGCTGGTCTTTAACACATGGGGAACTTGTTATTTTTGTTCAGTTGCTCAGTTGTATCCAGCTCTTTGAGACCCCTGTGGACTGCAGCATTCCAGGATTTCCTGTCCGTCACCATCTCCCAGAGCTTGTTCAAACTCATGTTCATTGAGTTGGTGATGCCATTCCACCATCTCATCCTCTGCCGCCTCTTTCTCCTTTTGCCTTCAATCTTTCCCAGCATCAGGGTCTTTTCCAATGAGTCGGCTCTTCACATCAGGTGGCCAGAGTATTGAAGCTTCAGCTTCAGCATCAGTCCTTCCAATGAAGACTCAGGGTTGATTTCCTTTAGGATTGACTCTTTCCTTTAGGCTTGATCTCCTTCCTGTCCAAGGGGCTCTCAAGAGTCTTCTCCAGCACCACAGTTTGAAAGCATCAATGGGGATTTTGACTTCCCCCCGAACGTGCAAAGAGCTATGAGTCAGAGACAGAAGGGCAGTGCCTGTGTTTTGCCCTGAGTGTCACTGAGGGCTCTTGTTCAGAGTTTACTGACAGTATACTGTCAGCTTTCTATATCTGAGGAGTCCACATTCTCAGATTCAGCCAATCTCAGATCAAAAAACATTTGGGGACAAAAATTCCAAAAAGTTCCAAAAAGCAAAGCTTGAATTTACTGCTGGCAACTATTTATATAGCATTTGCATTGTATTAGGTATTAAAAGTTGAAAAAACTTGGGTGGGTGTCCCCAGGTTACATGTAAATTCTACACCACTTTATACAAGGGATTTGAACATCCAAAGATTTTGGTATCTGTGGGGGTCCTGAAGCTAGTCCCTTGCAGATACCAAGAGACAGCTGTAGCTTTTTCCTCTTCTGTATGCAAGGAAGTGATTCCTTCATTTTGCAGACCTGCCATAGGTCAGGCATTGTGCCAGGTGACCAAGGATACCTGTGGTCAAGAACCTCACGGTCTAGGGTGGTGTTTCTCACCAATGGCTGCACATCACCAAGAAACCATAAAAAGTGCCAATGCCAAGGGCCAAACTTAGAAGTCCTATCTGACTCATCTTGCAGGAGAAAGTGCTGGGGG